CTTCAGTTTTAGGGTCCTGGTGTTCATGCTAGCTCACTGTCACACAGAAGAGGGATTATTACTGATATTATGAATATAATACAGACTATCTGGCTACTCTGTTGTAGTGATGTTGCCATGCTGCCCAAGTCCCTCCAGGAAGTTGCAATGTTGTGATTACCAATCCCCATGAATGCTTTGCAATGAAAAGTTAAGCCATTTCATCTCCAAACTCACTTCCTTGTTTATAGTTGTGAAGATACCGACCATACAGACATGTGCAACGTGAATGTGTCACATTTATCAGTGCGATTTAATTCTCACTGGATCAAGCTGCCTTTGATTTTTTAATGAATTATACAAAAAATAATAATAATCACAACTATTTTTGCAGTCTTCACTTGCACCTGCAATGTCATTACAAAAAAATGTCTTGCATTGCAATTTTCTTTTAAAAAGCTGGCATGCAATCAGGCATTTTAGGCTGTAACAATCCCTGGAGGGATTGGCTGCCAGATCTATGCACTTACTTTGTGGGGTACACTGTTACCATGTCCAGTGAAGAGAAATCAGCTGTTTGCACTGGAGGAGGTAACTTGAAGTCATCCACACTAATGACGATTAACCCAAAAATGCAGTTTACATGTATAAGGAATCTTTATGTTTTGGTACACACTTTAAAGCCATAAAACACCACACTTAAACGCCATAAAAAGGGCACAATGTTTCCTTCATTTTGCTCTCTCGTCTTGCTTTCAATAAGCAAGCAACACAATTGTGCACATTACTGCCCGCACAGCACCCAGTCATGTCTGTCAAGGCTTCAGAATATTTCCCATCCATTCTCCACTTTCTCATTGATCTCATTTATAGTAATTACTGTGTATCAGTTTCTCAAGATCAATATGATAATGATTTATTGCCTCCACCATGGACATTACATTTCTGTCAGCAGGTCAGTAACATCTCAAAAACATTTTTTCTCAAGATCTGATGGACTCACATTACACCACTCTGGCCAAGGAACAATTGACTAGATTTTGCTAGTAATCTGGGTATTTATCATTTTTGGTTTTTATCCATGAGATTAATGGACACAGAGAGCTGATTCCAAATGTTATGGTTGCACTTTGAAGAGATATTAGAATACATTTTTAAAAAGTTGGATGCATATTCAATGAAATCTATTGTTATTTGGGCTAGTAAAAGATAAATCTCAACCCTGAGTGCGCTGATAAATTAATTCCGTCTTTTCACTCAGAAGAGAAAATGCAGACTTTGAGAAGACGATTAGATAATGAATGTGCTTTTGTGAGTGGTGGAAACGGATGGTTTTGCAAATCTGAGTTGTCTGTTGGCAACTGCTGAAGGAAGTTTATCTTCAAAGATTCAATCACTGATTATTGGAGGCGATTATAAACATTTACCAATGTTGACATTTCAGCTTTCATATCGAACAGCATGTGATTCATTCTTTGTCAGAGGCCTGTGAAAAGCAATTAAGTTTTTAACTAAATTAATTTTCACATCTGCAGTGCCTCCCACCACCCTCCCTCATATACCATATACACAAACAGATGTACACACACACGTTCCCTCAGTCACTGTTTGAAGCTGTTACGATTGTCAGGATGCTTCTTTTCTTTTGCCAGAAAGCCCATGGGCCTCATTTCTTATCTTAAAGAACTGAGAGGTGCTTTCACATGTTAAACAAGGTGTGTGTGCTTGTGAGTCTCAGGGAGTTACCAAGGCTTTCTTTTGACAGCAAAAGAAATAAAAGCGTATACCGTATAGAATAAGAGTGTAGAGTGGAGTGGGAATGTGTGTTTTACATAATGACGATGAAGTGTGAAAATGTCTGCTGATAGTGGCAGGGAGAAGGTAATATGGGTGAATAAAAAGATGAAGGTGCCAGGGGAGAATATGCAATATGAAACAATAAAGTATGACAGCTAATTGTGTCTCACATTAACAAAAACAATTTCTGAAACTCCTTGTCAGCACAAACTGAAATCTCCTACATGACCCAGAGGCATTGATTCATAGAGAGACTCCAGCCGCAACTTTACAGCAGGAACCAGCTCCTCGCAGTCAATTATTTGCTACTAGGTTGGTTTAACAATAAAAATGTCCCCTTCAACCAAACTACAGTGTAAATAGTTATGGCTTAAAATACTGCATAATCCAAAGCCCTTCTGGGCAGTTACACACAGACAATTAAGTATATTATTACATTTTAATTTTGTGTTAACCACAGTTTTGTACATTACTGAGGAAAATGCAGAAACAAATGGTGTAAAAAAAAAAAGAAATCTCTAAAAATATACATACAGCTAATTGGGCTTCCAGTGGAAAAATGCAAAGGTCCATGTTAATATCGATTTGTGGTGGTTGTGCATAAAAGAAACACAAAAAGACACACAATTACCAGATTGATTGGACCATTCAGCTGCAATGAGACCTTAAATCTAAACTCTTCATTAGTAAGTCAGATATGATGGTATAATTTTTTCAATTTATTGTGTTCCCCTCAGCAAAGTTTACCACTAAAACACACCAAACCCAACAT